GGCTATTTTTTGGTTGCAGCCGTCATTGTTGTTTGGCGGGTCCGGGCTGGGGATTCGAACCTGCCACCTTAGGTGTACGTGGCTGACGTCTTAGCCGGTTGAGCTATAGGCGCTGAGCCGATTTTTTATATTTGTGATAGATAATTTTAGGATTTAACTCAAAATTTCCAACTCCTTCTCTTTCTATTTCCTGTATCAGTTTAATCTGGAGATTTAAATTTAATGTGCTGAGATTGCCAGGAAGGCTATTAAAAATGTAAACACTTGTCTCTGTGATCAGGATTCTTCTCTATATTGATCACCCAGAACAAAATACAAAAATAAATTGGACAGTAAGGCCGTATCAGAATAAAGCTGTACCTTTTTGTTGTTAGTCATAATAATAACAAATGAGAAAAAGTTTATTCTTATTGTATGGTATTATCACTTTCAATGTGTTTTATATAGCAGGATTCCTAATAGAGTTCAGGTTTTACTTGCAGAAAGGGTCATGCTGCATATTGGGTTAGAGAATCACTGTGCCTTTCCATGTCATCCTCTTGTTACTGTCCTACTTTTGATTCTCAAATTTCTGAAGATTTTTAAAAATTTAATTAGCTTAGGTGGTTAGAGAATTTGGTTTGCCTTCGGTATAAAAAAGATATGTAGAAGGTCTAACCACCTTGAAATATTGAAAATGTTTAGAACAAATAACCAGTTTTTTCTTTTGAAATTCTTTATTTTGTGCTATCTCTGGATCATTTCCAAATACAGGATAGTATAAGAAAGCTTATTTCCTTTCGCCTTGGTGCTTTTGAATAGGAGCAGAGGTTTTGCAGCTTTTAAAATCTTTCCTACGAATAACAGACTAGAAACCAGTCTCTTCAGTTAAAAATAATTTTATGAAGTTCCTGTTTATTTGGAGAGGAAATTGATTTCAAAGGATAGAATGTTTTTTGGTCAACATAATTTTGTCAAGCAGCAATTAATGCCAGGGCAATACTTGGGATGCAAAAATGAAAACCTGGTCCTCGTCCTTGTGTTCATAGTCTAAATAACTAAGTTGAAAATTACATTATAACAATGTTCTATCTTTGCTGGAGGAGTAGGGAAAGGCAGTGATATTTGAGGGATGTCTTGGCCGTTAGTAGGTGTTAGCCAAGGTGAAGGCAGTGCTTCCCATTTGAAGAAACAGGAGTGTGGGGCCCTTGAAGGACTTGACTTGGACAATGAGTAAGTATGAATACGGTTTCTATGAGGAGGAGGTATGAGGAAAAAGATGTTAAGTTGGTGGGGCAACAGCAGGAGATGAATTTGTAGAGGTAAGTTGGATCTACATTGTGAAGGGCCAAGTGTGCCTTGTTGAAAAATTGAGACTTCTTGTGTATGCTGTGAAGAGCCACAGCAAGGAAAGACGAAACGTTTTAGAAAGAAAGTACTGGAGGGCAGATTGGAGGCGGGAGAAATTGGTTCATTCATCCAATAAACATTTCACGGAGCACCTACTATGTGAAAATATTCTAGGCTCTTAGAATGGGATAGTGAAAAAGACAAAGATGTCTGCCCTAGTGTAGCATTAACTCTCCCAGTGTCACAAGATAAGATAGCAGTAAATATAGGGATCAATTAATTATGCATTACAGTAGGAGCTAATAAATGCTAAGAAAGGAGAAAAGTAGAGGCAGGGGTTTGAGATTACTTGAGTAGTGGCAAGATGTCCAGGTCACAAGCTGTTGCAGTAGTCCAAATGGGAAGTGATGAGGACTTAGGCTAAATGTGGGACTTTAAAATGGAGAGAAAGAATAGACAGAGGTACATATTTTCTCTTCTCTTTTGGGGACCTTTTTATTGTCCTTTTTATAAGTATATAAATTTATGTTATGGATATAAATCTATAATATACTGTTATAAGATGAAACAGACTTTGTAAAGAGGTGAAACTTTGCCAGCCATACTAGAAGCCTCTCCATTTGCTCCATCCCAATCATAAACCCCTCCCTCCCTGACAGCACGATGCTTATGGTCTTCACTTTTCTGCGTTTCTTGATAGTTTCACGAACCAAATGTGTATCCCTGTACACTTACAGCTTAGTCTTGCCAATTAATGTTTTTATATTAATATTTCTTTTCGATCTTTTTCAATCTATAGGTTTTCTCTCCTTCTCCCCTCCCCACTTTACAATTTATCATCAGAAGAACGGGGCCATTTGACCGTAGAATTTCTCATAACTTGGCTTTTTCTGATTGCAAACTCATAGTACGGCTCAACAGGTTCCTCTTCCTTTGTATGTTTTCTAAGTTGACAGCTGGATCCAGAGGTTTCGTCAACTTTAGCATGACAACAGGCAGCAGACTGTTTTTTCATTGAGAACTACAAAATTAGTTCCAAGTGTCTGATCATCTCTTTGCAGTGTTTTTTTTGTTTTGTTTTGTTTTTTGTTTTCAGTTTTTGGCCAGGGCTGGGTTTGAACCTGCCACCTCTGGTATATGGGGCCAGCGCTCTACTCCTTTGAGCCGCAGGTGCTGCCCTTCTTTGCAGTGTTAGTGTTAGTGATTGTTTCTGCTCAATGCCTAGAATTAGAAATTTATTGAGGTTTGAAACATTGTGCTATTCGTATCTGTTTTAGTTATTAGCTCTATTATTTTATAATGAGACATTTTCCCTCATTTATTGTTTGGTTATCCAATAGGGAAGGCAAGATACATGCCTTTTTCTTTATTTGCCAGTTTTCAGGGCATTGAGTTAATTCTCTATGACGGTCAATTTTGATTATTTTATCAACATTTTTAGTCTTTGTCTGGCAAGGGAGCTCCGATTGGTAGTTATAGGAATTACAGATGCTAAACTGCTCTAGGCTCTTCAGACCTCACCTGCTGTGTTGGATTAGGCAGAACCCTCCCCAGTTTTACTCCTGTTGGAAAATAGGCTCATTTTGTGTTCAGGGAATATTTATTAACTATGTTGGGGTTCTCTTGTTTTCACATACATCACATACCCCGATGCTTTCCTCTGCTTTTTCCTGTACAGATGTTAATATCAAAAGGGTCTGTGGCTGTTGGTTTGTCCCCAGCTGCTTGTGCTGGTGGGGGATAGCCTGTTGTCTAGATTTGTCACAAGTATTTTCCATGGGATTTTGGTTTTGCTGTCTAGTTGCTCGGTCTGTTTTATGTGGAAATTATGCCGTTTTTCCAGAAAGGGGTTGAACCATGAGAGAATTAGAGTGGAACTGAGAATAACTTCAAAGCTTCTGACTTGGGAGGTCTGGCAGATGGTGGTGTCATTGATGGAGATTTAAAAAGTGGAAGGGGCAAGGTAATGAGTGGAAGATAAGATCCATTTTTGAATTATTAGGTTTGAAATGCTTAGGAGACACTCCGATAGAGTGCCTGCTTAAGAAATATGCTTCTAGAATTTGACAGCAAGAGCTAGGTGATGGTACGTCAATGCTCTGAGAGTGATCAAAGCCATTACAAATAGGAAAAATTATTTTTGGTAAAAATTGCAGTAGAATAGAAACCAGTAGAATAGAAAGCATGCACTTGAAGATACTAATAATATGCATTTATGAATTAGTAATTTCATGTATTTTTCATAAACACATGCAACAAATGCATGTTTACATTGAGCAGCAATCCAGAAATGAAGACACTATATAAAGATCCATTTACAAATATGCAGGTGGGGCCCTAAGTATAGGTGCTGTACATGTTGGATGAATTTATAAAACCTGAGTAGTTTTCCTCCTTTAGATGCTAGCTAAAGATATTGGTACTTGTTAGCTGCAGATTTTTATATGAGTAATCTTCGGCGTATTTTCAGAGCCTCTATTTTAAGAGTAGGTGAGGAAGTCTTCTCTCTTATAAGCTATTTTAGGTGGTTCTAAGCTCTAACCTCACAGGGGACTTTTCAAGTAGTATACACTTGAACACTTTTGGACACTCCTTTTTAAACATTTCATTTGTTAAAAATCAACCCAAGCGATTTACTTTTGACTTATTTCCTTTCTTCTTCTTTTTCTTCTTCTTTTTTTTTTTTTTTAAAAAATTAGGCCAGTCTTCAAAGACCTGAGATTAAACTTGAATCACTAAAAGAAGATATTAAGGAATTCTTTAAAATATCAGGTTTGTTAAGTTCTTTTTTCTAATTATTAAAGGTAAAAAAGGAAATGTTTTATTTCTTTCTAATTCTTTAAGGCAAAATAGATAGTATTTTATTCTCAGCCTTTCCATTACTCATTCAGAATTGTGAAAAATTTGGTTGAATAAGTTTCTATTTGGGGAAAATCAGACATTTTAACAAAATGGCTCAAAAATTCAAGAACACAGTGAGAAAGACTGTTTTGCATTAATCAATTTTAAATATTGTTTACATTCCTGGTCAAAATATATCCAGAATATATTAAGTATCTCCTTAGTTAAGTAATTTGTCACTTTTCATTTGTGGTTTTTTCCTTTTATAATTTGTTTCCATTACTTTCCTATGCTTTCAAAGAAAATAAAAGGAAAATCCTAATTTTTTTATAGAGCAAGAGAGAGGTTTCCTATTCCAACCTCTGCACAAGGGAACTGCTAGATTGCAGCTTACCCAGAATATCCCCTGAACTAATGGATCTGACTGTTGTGTCCAGGACTTTATTGACTTGTTAATTGTAACTGTGTACTGGTGATTTAACTATGTACTGGTGACCTTTGTCAGGTCCCTATTTCTTGACTTTCCCTTGCAACATTCCTCATAGCATTAGTAGTATAACGTCCCAAGATTTGGGTATTCATTGAGTCCCTTTGTAGTGAAAGGAGGAAATGTCTCTCTCAAATGGAGAAAATGGTGCAATAATGATATTATTTAAAAATAATACGTTGATGTTTTGCTACTCAGTGTTAGGCAAAGGATATGCTAAGTGTAAAGGAAATAATCTCTTAATAACACTATACATAGTATTTGGTAGTTAAGAAAGATTTTTCACAAATAAAGATGATGCCAAAATTTTAGTGATATATATTTAATTATGATATTATTTATTTAAAAGCTAATATGTTCATATATTTTATTCTTTTTTTTTTTTAAACAGGTTGGGAGAAGAAACTTCAGAATGCAGTTTATAGTGAACTGAGTGTGTGAGTTTTCCCACCTATTTGAGATACTGTTTATTTTGTTTAGTTATACTTACTTTGCGAGTAATAAAATCAGTATAGCTATGTATATTCATTGTATTATTACTTCTTATTAGTGGTTATATAGCATTTCAAGTAAGTTAATGCAATTAAAAATTACTGCTCTCTTGCCTGAGAATTAATGAATAGGTGGATATTTTTTACCACCTGATATTTTATGTTAATCATTCATTTATTGAGTGAATTAGTAAATAAGATATTTTTCTTAAGTTAATATTTGCAGATACCTGAAGCTCATTAACATTCTTTTTATTATTGCCATTTTGGATATTATGCTTTTTTATGTCTTCATAAACTGACCATTCTAATCATAATTATCTTTTTTTGCAAGAAATTGATGTCATCATTAAGAACATCAGTGTTTTTGACTGTGTAGATTTAGCATCAGGGTATGTGTGTACATAGGACTGTTTGCCATTTAAAAAATACATATCTGGAATGTGAGCTTATGTAGTTTATTCAGTCTTCTGTTATTCATCAATTACTGAGTACCTACCATGTACCAGCACTATGCTAGGCTCTAGGGATGTGGTTAAAAAACAATAAACACAAGTCTTGCCTTCATGGAATTCATAGTCTAATAGAATTTTTCTATCTGTAATTTTTATTTATTTTATTTTATTTTAATTTTTTTATTTATTTTTTGAGGCAGAGTCTTATTCCATTGCCCTCAGTACAGTGCTGTGGTATCACAGCTCACAGCAACCTCCAACTCCTGGACTTAAGCGATTCTCTTGCCTCAGCCTCCTGAGTAGCAGGGACCACAAGTGCCTGCCACAATGCCCGGCTATTTTCTGTTGCAGTTGCCAGTGCTGTTTCAGCTGGCTGGGGCCAGGTTTGAACCCACCATCCTCAGTATATGGGGCTGGTGCCCTACCTGCGGAGCCACAGGCACCGCCCCTCTATCTGTAATTTTTTTGTTGCTATCATGTATCTCTGTCTCCAGCATTCTCTAGTTTCTAACACTCCCATTTCCAACTTGCCCCTTCTGATCTGTTAACTGGGTAATAAGATAACCCTGTTTACCAGAACTGTTTCTAAAATGAAGAGACTCATATGAAGGCATGTAGATATGTGCTTTAGGTACTTTTTTAAAATTAGTATTTACTTCTTTGCTTATCACCATCTTCCCAGTTGGTTTTCAAGTTCTTAAATAGCACCAGGTACAAGTGTGGTCTATTAGTTGAAGTTGACTAAGATCAGACCTTTGGTAGTACTGGTCACCAAAGAAATAAATGTGTGGTCTTTAGCTGCCTCTTTTTGCTCCTAGATTTCCTTTACCTAGTCATCCTGCTGCACCTCCTGAACATCTTAAAGAACCTTTGGTCTACATGAGGAAGGCACAGGTCGGCTACTGTTCATTGTTATTCCATCTTTGCATGCTGAGTTATGTAATGTGGAGTAAAAGATCCTTATTGATGTCAGGAGTATGTATTATTCATTAGGAAAGCCTGGGTAAGAACTCCTAAATTGATGTTAATAGTATTTTTTATTTCCAGTAACCAAGCATCATGCCGATTTAACTATAGTAATCCTGGAAAAAAATTAAATAGTAGGGAAAACATCATGTACCATATTGGCTTGAAGTTTAAAATATGATAAAAGCATTATGTGACAATCTATTCTTCATGCCCTGTGATGTTGAAGGAATGAAATGTGAATGAATTTACACCCTCTTCCTTAAAATTTTGGCCTTCGAAGCCAGTGTTACTGGTACCATATTTGAAATATATTTATTCTCACAGCAGGCTGTCACATATTAATTTTATTCTGTTACAGAACTTAGGAGAACCTGCTATCAAAATGGCTCGGCAGATGACTAAGAATCACTTTAAAAGGATAAAATGAAGTTATTTAAAATGAAAAACTATGTGGGGTGGTGCCTGTGGCTCAGTGAGTAGGGCGCTGGCCCCATATACTGAGGGTGGTGGGTTCTAACCCGGCCCCAGCCAAACTGCAACCAAAAAAAACAATAAAAATAATTAAAAAAAAAGAAAAACTATGAAAAGCTGTTAAAGTAGAAGCTCAGTACATTCTATCCCTGGTCCCTGACTTTTTAAACCTACTCCACCCCCCTATGGCACAGCCCGTCTATAAGCCTTCCTCATAGTGCTGGCTAGGATGCGGTGACACCCACCACTGAGCTGTTCGATGACCATCACAGTCAGAGGTGACCATCATTCTCCAGCGTAGCCTCAAAAATGGATTTTTAAAACCTTTTTAGTATGAAATATTTCAAAAATACCCTTAAAAATTCCCATCTCTTGACTTTAACACTTATGATTATGGTTCTGATGCTCTTGAAAATTTTCTGCTGCTTAGATTACCACATTCCCCAGTTAGGAGATATTCGATTTTTATTTTTCAACTTTTGCTTTTAGAAAGCCATCAAGTTTGGATGTAGTGGCTTACGCCTGTGATCCTAGCTCTCTGGGAGGGTAAGGCTGGTGTATTGCTCCGAGCTCAGGAGTTTGAGACCATCCTGAGCCAGAGCAAGACCTCATCTCTACAAAAAAAAGCTGAGCATTGTAGCGGGCACCTGTAGTCCCAGCTACTGGGGAGGCTGAGGCAAGAGAATCGCTTGAGCCCAAGAGTTAGAGGTTGCTGTGAGCTAGGATGCCACGGCACTCTCCTGAGGGCCACAAAGTGAGACTGTCTCAATAAAAAATAAATAAATGAATAAATAAAGCCATCAAAATTAGATGCAAAAGGCCATATAAATAAAGAAAGTGGAGATATTTGAAGAAATATTTATTATATTTCTGTTTCTAGGTGGTATCTTTTAGGGCTGGAAATTACATAATATATATATTTATTGTTTTGTCATAAAGCATAAAGTTAAATGATACTAGTGTGAAAGAATTGTGTGGTCTTTGTTGTAAAGATTCAAACTCAAGATATTAAAATGAAAGAGGTTGTCTCCAAATATTTTTTGATGAAATTAAAAACTTTCAAAGGGTGTAGAGAAATACCAGTTTTAGCATGTTAGGCGTGGGGAACAAAACATCATTTGGTTTCCTATGGTGACTGAAAAGAACAGATAGAAAGGTAAATGACAAGTCCATTCTTAAAGCCTATTGCTCATTGCTGAGAGTGTATGTGAATGATAAGGGGTGGGTAGTGCACACACTCTATTTCCTTTCTGGATTTACTCAGTTACGTCAGGGATTGGCAAACTACAGCCCATGGGCCAAATCCACCCCGACACCTATTTTTATGGGCCTGGCAAGCTAGGAATGTTTGCTTGTTTGTTTACATTTCTAACTAGCTGAAAAGTCAAAATAAGGATAATATCTTGGGACATAGGAAGATTATATGAATTAATAAAATCTGTTTTATTGGAAAATAATCGTGCTCATTCATTTATTGCCTGTGGCTGCTTTTGCACTACAGTGGCAGAGTTAAGTGGATGCAATAGAGACCTTACGGCTTGCAAAGCCTGAAATATTTACTGTCTGCCCTTTCATTGAAGGTTTGTGCCAATTCCTACTCTAAATTATTCATTCCTTAAGAGCAGGGACTGTGCTTTTTATCTTTGGCGGATATCTCACATAGTGCCTGGCCCACAGAACACTCTCAGCAAATGTTTGTTGAACTAATTGATTTTTTTAACCACAGCCATACTAATTACCTCCTCCACCAGTTAGTATCTGCCTATCTTTCTGAATTTGTTGTTGAGACATCCACTTCTTCAGCTCTCTATTCTCTTGGGCATTTCTCTCCTCTTTGCATGAAAGCTACCTAGTCTGGATCACATGACTTCCCTACCATCATGGTCTCTCTTGCACTTCATAATCTCTTGTCTTATCAGACTTCTGTCTCCTATTCTACTCCCCAGTCTAAGGCCACTCTACTATCTGCTTTCCCCTCTTCACCCAAACCCTTGACTGTTTCAGGGGAAAATCATGTAAGTCCTGTATTAACCATTACTCTAGTCTAAATTTATTTAATTTTTAGTAGATTCTTTTTGCTCCCTGCTATTGCTTCCATTAATCTTTATTCATTATCTGCTTTCCATTTAAGTTGTTCCAGACTTTTCCATTTTTGTCTGACCCCCAATTCTGCCTCTGTCTCACTCATTTTTAATATTTGCCACTTACATAACAATATTCAGATTATCTCATTCAAGCTTTTATAGCTTCCCTCTTTGCTGACACATCTCTTTTTGCTCTAATCCTCTATGATCAATTGTCTGCCATACATTTCTTTTGTGATACCAAATTCAACATGTCAAAAACTTGAGTTTATTACGTTCTTCTTAAAATGAGTGTCTCTTCCTAATTTTCCCATTTCTGTTTATAGGCTTCCATTATTATGGTAATTTATACCTGAAAAATCTTTGATCTCAGTTTCTATATTCAAATAGTCATTACATTATTATTTATTTATTTGGTTTTATATACAATTTGAAATATTTTCATCAAACTGGTTAACATAGTCTTCATGGCATTTTTCTTATTGTGTTAAGATATTTATATTCTATATTTAGTAAGCTTCACATGTTCCCTTTTAAGATGCACCATAGGTGTGGTCCCACCAATTACCCTTCCTCCACCATCCTGCGTCATTACATTATATAAATTATTTTCCTCACATAGTCCTTTTATTTTTTAATTATTTTTGAGACAGAGTCTCATCTGGGTAGGGTATCATGGTATGATCATAGCTCACAGCAACCTCAAATTCTTGGGCTTACGTGATCCTCTTGCCTCAGCCTCCCCAAGTAGTTGGCACTATAGACATGTACCACCATGTCTAAGTTTTCTGTCAGGGAAGTCTCAAACTCCCAAGCTCAAGAAATCCTTGTAATCCTCTTGCCTTGACCTCCTAGAGTACTAGCATTATAGGTGTGAGCCACTGCACCACCCTTTCCCACAGTCTTATACCAAGTAGTCTTTCTTTTCATTATCAAGGCCATTACCATAGTGGTCATGATGATGCTGATGATAATGTTGATAACTATGACTGTCTTTTATTGAATGCTTACTTGTTGCAGACATTGAGCTTTAATTAGCATCCTGCCTTGTTCTTATACCTCCAACTTTCTTTTTTTTTTTGAGACGGAGCCTCAAGCTATCCCCCCTGGGTAGAGTGCCG